TATTAATATTTGTGACTAATACTAATAGGTTAATATTGTTAATGTTAATGCTAATGTACTAATGCTAATACCAATTATAATGCTAATGCTAATCTGGATATGCTAATCATTGTGCTAATGCTAATTATAAGTGTAATCCTAATATTATCCAAATCATTATCATATTCATAATCCTATTCATAACTAATCATAAATCTAATCGTAATCCTAATCCTATTCCTAACACTAATTATAATTCTAACCATAACCCTAATAATTTTAATGCTAATAATGCTAATGGTAATGGTAATGCTAATATTAATTATAATTATAATTCTAATCTTAATTGTAATGATAATCTTAATCCTTATGCTAATCATAATCTTAATACTCATACATGTCATTAATTGTAGTACTAATTATAAGCATAATTTTAATTATAATTTTAATACTAATATGACTCATAATCATAATCCTTATTCTAATCCTAATCCTAATCCTTATCCTAATCTTAATATTAATTCTAATACTATATTAATCCTAATTATAATTCGAATCCTAATCCTAGTATTAATACTAATACTAATTCAAAAAATATTAAGTATAATCCTAATACCAATCACAATCATAATTCTGTTTTTGCATCATTTTTTTTTTTGCAATGATCTATTATTTTTTATCAAAAATATTTTATTAAATCACGCAACATTTATATCAAAATTCTTATGTGTGGTAGCCGAAGCATCAAAAAACACATATGAAATATATTACAAATTAACATTTAATTATATTATCAAAATGACATTAAAATTATTTAAAATATTATAAGGATATCATAAAACATTAGTGTTCACATGGCAGACAAAAAAAATAGTGCCATTTTTTGCATTATACAGTAGTATAGTCATGTTCATGTAAAGTGTATTTTATCAAATTATTTATTATGCAGTATTTTTTTAATATAAATCTATTTATGAATTCAAATAATTTTTTTTGTAACACCACCAATCAAGGAATTATAATAAGGGAAGATTTGAAATTGCCTTTAACTAAATTCAAATTAAATTAATTATTATTAAAATTAAATTAAATTAAATTTAAAAATAAATCTATTTAGAATTTCCAAGAAAGTTGATATATTTAGAGCATTTTATAAATGATAGGATATAAATATATTAATAAAATAATTAAATATATTTAATTATCTTTAATTTTAGAAAATGGTGACATGTTTTTTGATGATTTATTTTCACCAATCAATTTGACACATGGGATGATATTGAATACATGTCACCAATTGAAATTGCCAAATATCAAACAATTGAGGACTAAATGTTTTTTTTTTTGTACAAACAACATCACTCAATTGTCACATAAATTACGGAAGGAAAAAAAAAACACATGACCATGTGCAGCAAGAATTTTCATGTGAAAGTAAAAAAATATTGTGTGGATTAAGGATGCTACGTAATGGGTGAGAAGCGAGGGTATTATACTTT